CAAAAAGTTAAAGGGAAGAAGGAGGATTCGTGGTTTGCTGTGTGAAGAATGGAGGGGAGTTTATATAGAGAGGAAAGGTGGAATGAGCGATTGAGATGAGAGGTAATGAACAGTCCAAATTTGAGAGAAAAAATCAGAATTTATCAGCAGGAAGTGATAATTTCCTCGGTTAATTATCTAAGGGATAAATCAGAAGATAATTCCAAGAATTTTCCTTATCATCTTGGCTTGTAACTACCAATCGATACTCTTTATTTTTTTCAATTTCAAAAATCATCAAAATTCGATCCAAGTTCGTTCTTGTCTCCAAGAAACAAACCTCAACAGATCGGCACCAAGGAGTGTTGATCGTCACTAAAGCCTTGAATTTCATTGAAAATAATATATATATGTATGTATATATATATAGTCAAATACTTATCTAAAAGATGTATTGGTCGGTTGGTAGTGTGCAGTACTGATTGCACAGAGCTTGGCCAATCAGAAGTAGTGAGTGCCGGCAATCCAGCCGAGCGGCTTCCAATTCGAATTCATTTTGATAGAAAAAATGATTATGTGTTCTTCAATTCGAATGCAAAATTTAATATTTTCAAAGTGCTCTTCAATCATGTCCCACTACCAACCTTGCTTAGAAAGATATAAGGTCACCAAAAAAACATTTTCCAATTTTCTGTCCAAAAATAATTTGTTTTTTAAAATTAAGGCTTAAAGAATATAAAACAATGTGAACTTTGGTGTTGAACTTGTGATCTTCTAGTAGCTTGCATTTTTGCATCTTGAGTAGTTCAATAAAGAACGGAAATAACTTCAAGGCATATTGTTAATATCATTACCCTTTATGCTTATTTCACTCATACCAATAATAGCATATAAAAGAGGTTGAATCGAAAAGTTTCAATACAATGAAGCTTATGTTTGAATTATCTCGAATTAAACCATTAAAAACCTCTCAACCAAAGACAAAAATACATTGTTTTTAATAAGATTTTTTGCAACAAATAATGTCAAAGAAATAAGCCTTTTATTGTGAAAGAATGGAAAAAAAGAGAAAAAAAATCTGAATTTTTTAATATACTAAGAGAAATCATTTTTTACATTTTTTAAAATTATAACTTTTCATACAAAATAGTGAACTCCACCTAGATAATGGTCGTCTTTTTGTAATTTTAATTTCTATAATGTCATCTAAAGTAAAGCAATTGACTTCTTTTTAAAGCAATCGACTCTTCTCAACTTATAGAATGCATTCATTATGTAAGTGATCAATTCCTCTCAACTTACTGAATGCATTCATTATGTAAGTAGTTGACTCTTATCAATTTTCAAAATGATCCTATTAACAAAATACTTGATTGTTATGACCTAAATCAATTTTCAAAAAACTCTTAAATAATAACAATTGACTTCTTTAGGTTTAAAAATCGATTGGATTGATTTTCAATTATAACAATCATTTGTTTTAAGTTAGACAATTGACTGCTTATTAATTATATAGAGACTATACTTAGTTTTTGTTTATCAAAGCAATCACTCCATGCAATTGATGGTCTACTACTTCGCCTGAAAGTCAAAGACAATCGATACCTATATGCATAACAATTAACTGCCTAAATAAACAATCTTTTTGATTAAATTCTTTTGAATCTAAAATCATGTTATTGATAACAGATCCTTAACTCAAATTATTCTATAACTTAATATGATTTTTTTTTATTAAGACTTTACTTAATTATATTATTTTTATATTTCAAAAATATTATCGGTGAACGACTCGAAATCATCACCTATGTAATTTAAAGAAAAATTCAGAATTGTTGGAAGAAGTTATAGCATAGCAACAACTTAAAATGTCTTTAAATTCCAAGAGTAAAAAATAGAAAATCCACAAATAAAAATCATCATTTTTTTAAGAAGATTTGAGTTATCTTATATTAAGAGGATGACTCATCCAATTTATCATCCATTCCTCCTACACAGTATTAACACTCTTAATGAATCGAAAAATTTGTGTAGTAATAGATGAAAGATGGCATGGTCCTTGGCCTGCTTCTGGTTGCCTTATAAGCCAATGGAGCTAGGGAAAAAGGGGTATTCTTAGCTTGAGATATTGCTCGTCACTGGATGAAAAGGTTTTTGTTGTTAAACATTGTCTCATCCACATGCATTTATGGTAGAGTTGGCGGTCCAATTTTGTTCTCAAAGGGGTGGATTAGACACATGTTGCAGATAGATTTGCTACTTGGCTCAATCCTTTCTGGCTATGCAGCCTGTTTTACCTAATTAAGTATCCATTCTATTGAAAAAAAAAAAAAAAAAAACACTTAATTCATCTTCTCCACTTGTCAATTTCCCTTGACGCTGCTATAGCCACCTTCTTGGTATTAACGACGAGTTCATCAATAAGACCACCAATTTCGTCCCTGTTCATCATCAAATAAAAGTGTAAATAAAATCCTATGCTTATGATTGGCAGATTAACAGCCCTATTATATATTTTACCACTGGCCTCTCATGCAATTAATCTTATGTCTATTTGTATTCCTCAACCCTCAGATTTACAAAAAGAGTTTGATATATGAATCAAACCCCACACTTTATACCTTAGAAGCACACGATTCTTATATTGCTCCTTAAATTTAGCCTCAAATTAATCAATGAAAAACTTTTTCCGTCACTCTCAACTAGGGATGAATCTAGGCGGGCTGGTAGGGGCCTTGACGGGGCAAGTATACTGTTCTCATCAAAAGAAAAAGGGAAAACTTTGCTTTTAACCCCCTACAAAATTTTCTATAATGCTCTAAAGTACATTCATGCGAATTTTGGTTAAGTGTTGCTTCTGTTATGAGATTGTCTTTGTGATTTTATTGTCTCAGCAGAGAGATTGAAACTAGACCCAACGGAAATTGTGTGCCATTACAAAGTGGCCAGCACCTAAATCGATCAAAGAAGTTCAAAGTTTTGTTCGAAGATTCATAAGGGAATTCAGTTTCACAGAGCCACACCATTGAAAGCATGAAAAGTGACAGCTTTGAGTGGCCAAAATTCAGAACAAAAAGCTATTGAACAAATTCTGCGACAGAGGAACTGGTTCTTGTAGTAGCAGGTTTTTAAGAAGTTCACTTTTGTAGAGTGTGATGCATCGGTTGAAATTAGAGCTGTTCTAAGTCAAGATGGGACATGGGAGGCCAGTAGATTCTAGTTATGAGCAACCAAGTAACTGGTCTCGAAGAACTAACTCAACACTCAATTGATCTTTATTTCAACCATATTTTGAGAAGTAAACCAGCTAGTGAGAGTACTTGGATTGCATAGTATGAACACAAAAGCATTGATCCAGAAATCTACACTTAAGCTACCAATGTTCTTACAATAGAGGGCCTTTTATCAACCTGAGGAGATTGATGCCAGAGAATTCTAGAATTTATCTCAATTAATTAGCTTGACAGTTTTTCGTTTTTGTTTACTGTTTTACGTTAGTTATTATTATTATTATTATTGAGTCATGTGAGTAGCATTTGATCTCCTAATAAGTTTTAATGGCTAAAGATTAGATGAGGTTAATGTGTATCCCAGGCTAGGATTAAAAGTTGTCCTAATCCTAATACAAGCAGTAGGCAACCATTATCCGTTAGTGGCTCTACAACCCTAAACCCTAGTTATCTTGTCCCAACTTTGGGTTTACATCAATTTTATCCTTTAATTTGGTTTTCTTCTTTCACTGTATTGGTTTCCTGTTTATTGTTATCACTTACGAACTACATCAAATTATTATGTTATGCAATTTCTATTTACACTAATTAAGGAAATTACAACTAGAGCAAGCTTAGCTATTAATTTCGCAAACAATAATAATGCTACATATAACCTTATTTTCTAATTTCCCTCTTTGGTTTCCTATTACCACATTTTAGGAAATCCATTGCCCTTTTAATTCTTTAAAACTTGTTCAACTTCTATTCTATAAAAATTATTTAAGACTAATTTTTATTCAATGTTTCATGCATGCATTATAAGCTATAATGTACTTATGCAATTATATTTTTTTTATTATTTCATTTGAATTTAATGTTCTTTTAAATTTTAATTCCCGCTATTTTTTTAAACTTTATTTTTATCTTATTCAGATACGTTTTCCTTTTAGCTTCACACCACTCTCTCAATGATAAAATTTCTGACTTCATCCCCTACTCCCAATCCTTTTATACCCAAACCAAAGTAAAAGCTAACTTGTTTTGATACCTTTGAACTGCAAACTCTTAAAAATCCCAAACCCATTTCACCAAGAGTATTGACCACCTTGCTCTTCTAGAAAGCAGAGTAACAAAGGTAAAGCACGCATTTCAATGCATGCAAAAGCTTCCATTACTTTATTTATTACATTTACAGACATTTTGAGGAGCCAAGAGTTATTTAGTAATATGGTTTGTATAAAAATGAATAACTTAGAATGACAATACAGAAAACAAAATGAAAAGAAAATATACTCACCGCGAAGTAAGATGCCGGTGGCCAAACAGCCTTCCAACGTTAGAATATGTATGGTACTCATCATGAGCGATGCCCCTACCGACACCATAGCCAAACCCTAAACCAACCCCACAGCCAGCACCAAAACCAAAGCCCACTTGCAAGCCAGGAATTCCAGGACCAAACCCCGCACCTAATGAGTAAAAACCAATAAACACTTTGCCAAGCAATTAAAAGTATGATCATCATATATAACATTGAAATAAAATAATTTCTTAATCAAAGAAAATAAATACAAACTGTAGCTTTTGGTCCGGGCAATCTCAGTACGAAGCATAAAATACTCATGGGACCAATATGGTCATTGGCAAATTAACGGGGGAGAGAGAGAGAGAGAGAAAGAGAAAGAAATCTAGCAGTAGACCGCAATCTTCAATCTTCCAAAAACACAAACTAAAACCAGCATCTATGTCTATGTCTATGACAAGATATTTGTAAAGTAACTAACTGAAGTAGAAAAAATGATGCAGAATAATAACACTCAATAATGGTATAACAATCTCAATACAAAATATCAATAATCAACACTTAACTTCCAAATATGACAAAACTATATATTTTGAGCTTCATCAACCTAGAATAGACATTCTTTCAAAACTTGCAAGAGTGTCCCCCATTATCGACCTTTCCAAACTAATAAAACTACCAGAGCAATAAGATCTAACAATAGGGGTCTTCATTAAGACCACATCTTAGAGGTCTCTCAATGACAAACTAAAATTATGAAATTCAAGAATCAAAGAAAATTAACAAAAAATGATTCATGTTCAGCAATAAAAAGTTCTTAAATAGGAGCTTGACCATAAGCCATAAATGCTATGTTAACATATAAATCAGAAACTATCTTAGAATTAAAGAAAACCATTCTCAAACACTCTTATGTAACCTTTTCAAACTAATAGAACACCATATTAATAAGATCTAATAATAGGGACATTCATTAAGACCATAGAGGTCCATCCAAGACAATTACAAATATGACAACTTAGAATTAAAGAAAATTAACACAAATTGCTTCACCTTCAGCAATAAAAAATTCTTAAACAGGGGTTTAATGGGGTTTAATGGCATATATGCCATGTAACATATAGATCAGAACCTCTCCTAAAACCAATTAATACAATTCTCAAGTACTTATGTAATGTTGTAATCATTCAAGGCCTGTGACACGCAACAAACAAGTCCTTCCAAATTAACAGTGTTCCCTCAATCTTTTATGCTTAAACATCACAAACACAAGCACAGTAAAACAATGTAAAGAGAGAGTGTGAATTTCTTTTAATGTGCAGCTATAGATAAAACATAACCTCAAAAAAAAGGTTTATAAAAAGTAAAATTTGAGGTGCCTAAGTGTGAATCTAGGAGCTATAGACTGTATTTTAATCTAAGTTTGCGGTTATATTGAAAAATAATATAGTTTAGGACAACTAATGACCAGTTGTCTGCTCTCTAGCTTCCCTAGATGTTGTGTCAGCTGTTAAACCTTTTAAATAGCTTGTAAGTCGCTAAATTAGAACAGAAAGAGAGGAAAGTTGGAATCTCTGCAAACTGATTTGATTAGTTAGAGCTTAAATTTGCAGTTTAAGAAACTGATTTGGTTTTAATATCAGATTTTAATCATAAGTAGCCAAGTGATGTTATTTTTTTTGGCAGTATTGTATCCAAAATCAATTTTCAACAGCTTAGACACACTTTAGCCAGAATCAGTTTCTGAATATGCTGGAATGTAAAAGACTTAAATAATATTAAATACAAGTTCTCCGTCAAGCAATTCATTTTGTTCTTAGTAAGTTTTGGTTTTCACGTTTATTGCATCTTAGGTTTGTTTGTAGTTGACTTGATTCTAAATCTTACTTTGGCTTAACCAAACAGATTTATGCTTCAGAGGAAGGGGAGAAATTAAGCATGGCAATGGAGCAGAGCAGGGCGTGACTGGGAATTGTCTCATCTAACCCCGCCCAGCCTAAAGAATATAGAGCCCCTACCTCAATGGATGCTGGTTATATCCATATCAGCCCACCTCCTCCATAATTGTGTCTTTAAATAGACAAGGTTATGATCAACTTATTGTACACCCAAATTTCATGTCGAAAATATGACAAGGAAAATTGAAGACAAATTCCAGAGATTGTAATTTCCACAAATCTGATAAATAAATATATTATTTGTCTCCACTTTTCATCAAAGGACTTATGGAATCTATTGATTACCACAATTTTCATTATAGAAAATTAAAAAAAAATCTAACATTTCAATTTCAGACAATAAATGATAGCAAACACAATTTCATATTGAGAATTAATTCAACACAAACTCCCTCAGTTTTATTAAATTGTAAAAACAGATAGAATTAAATAATATTCCAATAACTGAATTACATTGTTGGTAGCTACCATTTAAATCATCCAATATGATACCTTTCTGCTTCCACTTGTGCTTTCTCTCAAACAAGTACTATTCAACACAATAAAAACTGCAAGGGAAGAAGGAAATGAGGACTATCAATCTGAGGTTCTGATTTGAAAAGTAATACCTCCAATGAGGCCAAGCCCAAAGCCGAGACCACAGCCAGCGCCGAGTCCGAAAGCAGGGCCGACCTTACCCACGTCCTTGAGTTTGAGGTGTGGAAGTCTCCAAATCAAACCCCGGTCCCCATTCTCCACTTCCATCCTTTGCCTCCTGCCGTTGCCGTTCATCTCTGTCCCTACCTTCCTCACCATATATGTGATATGAGCTAAAGTAGACCTGGTGACAATTTATATTGTTACTTAGCCCATTTAATATTTTTGTAGCCCATTTAGCAGTCAGCCCAATTGCTTAAATTTCGTTTTCTAGAAAAAAATCAGACTGTTATTTTGTTAAGAGTTGGGTTAACTCTAGCTTGTTTTTGGTGTAAAAAAGGAAGATGATACAGAAAAAACGATAGAAATGAATCATTGACAAACTTTCTAAAATCTCTCTCTTCTCTCTTCTTTTATATTGAGTATTCTATTATTTTCTTTCATTTCTAGAATATCTATTTGTTGATTTTTATTTTGTTGTGTGCTCTGCTAAGTAACATTAGATTCAACTACTATCATTAATGTCAGAGTCATCAGATCTTGGCGACGATTGAAGGAACGACCACTCGTCTATAGAAGGATATGGATTAGCTGCAAAAGAAGTACGAGAAAGTGGGTGCTAGTAAGAGACCTTGATTAATGATTTTATAAGAGACCTTGAGTCTCATTTAATTTTGCTTTTTTATTGATTATTATTTTAATCTTTTGATTTCAAATTAAGTTATTTAATTTATGATTCATGATTTTATGGTATGTTATATGTAGATTTTATTGATTATGGCATTGAATGATCATGAATATAAAATGGATGTGGAGTACTTGCTAGCTTTGGTTATGAATCTTTTATAGTATTGTTATATTTTGGTAAGATTAAGGTTATCAAATCAAAATAATAAAATTCTCAAAAATTATTTTAAAGCTTAAAAGAAATTATAAATTTATAAATCTTTTCAAAAAAGAAGTAAGTATATATTTTCTTATTATAAAATAATATTTTATGATCCATATTCATTGATAGCATTTTATTGATAATAAAATAATATATGATTCATATTATTTGATTTATATAATATTATTTCGACAAGAAATATACATATCATCTAAGATAACTTCAATTCAATTTGAAAAGTTATATAATTCTTTGTAATTAGTTAAAATGCTTTTTATTTGTTCAGTGAAAAAATTCATGTATTTCATAATTTGGACACAAATTTTTTAGTATTATATAGTTATACATGAAATTTGGTTGTTTTTTATGACATGAACAATGGTGGACTAGCGTCCATGATCAAATAATTTTTAGGTATTTAAGAGTTGGAATAAAAGTCTTAAAAAAAGACTATAGAAAGCATGAGTTTACTAGTCTTAAGGGTGATTATATTTGGTATTATTGATGCATACTCTCATATTGAGCTAAAATAAAAGTTTTGAAACTTTTATAAAAAAGAAAATATTAAGATATAGAATAATTACTAGCTATTTTTCATTAAGAGTGGATTTAAAGATCTCTTATTTTAAAAAAAATACCAAAAAGTGAAAAGATAAATGAAATGACAACTTAATTAAGTGTATATGATATCTTGAAAATTAAATGAAACATTCTGTAATAAAAGAATGCGTATTTACACATGGTGTGGGTAATAAAAATCAAAAGAAATAAAAATTGCTATCATAGTGTTGTAAGATTTTAATATAAATTTATGAACAAATTATGTAAGCTAATATGTTTAGTATAACTTATTAAAGTAAAATCATAAAAGGTCCTTAAAAATCTTAAAATGACTAAAATGGCTTGGTTTATTCATTGAGTTTATCCAATTGTACTAATAGTATAATTGTATTAAAGATGTATAAAAGAATGAAAATAGAATGATTGAAATTTATGAGTATAGAGTTATGGCCACAACTAATACCATCTATTTCTTAAAATGACAAGAAAAAGCATAATGTTCAGAGCATATATAATAATATGCAAAATGAAAAATTTGGCCATATTAGCTTGAAGTGATTATATTAGAGATTCAATCTTAAGTGGAGGTAATTACCATAAAAAAAATTGAATTCCAAGATATTTAGTTAGTAGTACTACAAGTAGAATTGATTTAAATCCTTATTATTAGACACCAATAATGAAAACCCTACTTTGAATTAGTAACCTCTAATAACAAAGTATAATAGGTAATAACAAGTTATTATTTTATGTCTGTTAAGCACTAGTAAAATTCATTCAAATTTTAGAAACTAGTGTGATTTATTGCGTGGGGAGAGTGAGTTTTTATACTCTTAATAGAGTTTATTATTTAAATGTCTAAAGTAATGAAGACATAATGAAAACTCTACCTATATAAACATAGAAGTGGTGTTGCTTCAACAAAAAAATTGGGGTCTCTCTTGTAAATGTTTATAAATAGGATAAGCACATGACCATGATAGTACTAAAGCAGTTATAAACCTCTGATAAAAAAATAATTAAGTATTATGTGTATTATATGTTCAATTCTAACATTAGGAGTTGAGGTTTAATGTATAGACACTATCAACTTTATTAGAATTCTAAGGTATACATTCTAATTGAAGATTTAAATTGAGAGATACCTTTTTATATTCATAATATTTATTTGTGTAAAAGGATAAAGATTAAACACTAACATTACCCACGTCCTTGAGTTTGAGGTGCAAAAGTTTCCAAATCAAACCTCGATCCCCATTCTCCACTTTTCTTCTTTACCTTTAGCCATTGCTATTCATCTTTCTCCCTCTATTCCACATTGTATATGTTCCTAGGGTTTAGGCTTTTCTCTCACCACTAGTGGTTACAGCTTTTACATTGGGATCGTCTTCTACTTTGGGTTTGCTTATGAGGGGAATGACAATGAATCTTAAGGTAATGAAAAAAAAAAGGTTAAATAATCATTTGGTTATGTGTTTTTATGGTTTAGTATCTAAAAAAAATAAAAAATTTGCAAATAAAAACTAGAATTTCATTTCTTTGAGCAATTTAGTTTTTGGTACTATTAGTTAAGTTACGTAGATAGTACGAATGTCACAAACTGTGAAAAGGATCAAGCCTAGGGTTTTTTTTAGACAGAAGGTAGTTCTAAGTCAAGCAAAATAAAGTTAGAAAGTAAAAAAAGTCAAGCCCAAAAGTGCAACGAAGGTCATGAAGCCAGAACCATGACCTAGAATAGGTGTACGGTAGCTAAAATGGGCTATAGAAGCCTAGGCCAAGGGATCCAATTTGGCAGCTTTCAAATAGACCCAGGCTTAAGGCATGAGCACAAGTGCAAGCCTAGGCAGGAGTAGAATAGATCCAAACATGGGCCCAGGAAGGGGCCTAGGCATGGGCACTGTTGAAGGAAGAATCCCACCTAGTTCAAACTCTTTTCTAATAAAATCTTTTAAATTTTGAACCCTCCACTATAATCTCTTGTAATCTTTAGACTCTTTATGAGCCATAAGATAGGATTAATCATAGCCATTGATGTAAATGGGTTTCAACTATAAAAAGAGAGTTTCTCTACCCTCATGATATACACCACAACTTAAGTAATGCAAGTTTACTTTTGCCTTATCTTTCTTATTTCTTTTTAGCCTTTCTAAAACACTTTATGTGTAGCCTTATTTAGTAATAGCTTAGGGACTAGCCTTGGAATATTGAGTGCCCGAGCATCGACTCAAATGTTAGGTTGATCTTGGGTGCTAGATGAGTCCATTCTTGAGCCTAGGAGCTACGCAAACCTAGAGCTAAAGTCTCCGCCCATGACAATTAGTTCAAAGCTTAGTTTAGACCGTAATTGGTGACCAAAGCTTGGTTTAAAATTGACAGTAGAAGTTGGTCCAAAGGAGGTGATCAGTGCATGGAGCTATTAGAACTTGAGTTAGCCTCGAAAGAGGTTTGGATGTGTTGGTATAGGCATTATACTATGTGGTACAGGCATCCTAGATTGTTTTCATACTCATGTACTAGTGAAATATCCCCTAGGATGCTAAGTGTGCGCATGCTAAAGTGTAAAATAAGTGCTCGATAGATTGTTACTGTGGTGTTGAGGTATGCTAAGCGTGTTGTACAAGTGTATAGACTGATACCTAATCGAAAGTATTAGGTGTGTTAAGCTAGTGTCCAAATAAACTAGTGCCTGAAAGTGTGTGATGTGCTGATAGATTGGTGTGTTGTCTTGTTAGGACTAAGATCGGGTCACCAGAGTGCTGCAAAAGGTTGAGGTAATCCTTTGGTTTGTGCATTCATGACTGACAGTTTATATTTTGGTCATTGCTAACATGAGAGATAGGTTCAAAGATATTGATGGTTGAATCATCGAGCTAGACTCAATGAGGGAAGAGTTCAAATAAGGGATGCAATGTATTATGAATGAGGCAATGTAGGTGCTCATATAGCGAAATGAAGCATTGAAGGCCATGGTGACAACTTTACTGGAAGAGCTATAATGGTTCAAGGTTGATTATACTATGTTACGAGCTACCATGGTTGCTGGTGTGAGTTTATGACCCAAAGTGGAGATGCTTTAGTTGAAGCCATTTAGGGAGAGTCACTTAGCCAAAGTGTAGACAACTTTGTGTAGGGCATGAAATAGTACTTTCGAGTGGCAAGGACAACAAATGATGCTAAAGTAAGCTCAGCAGCTATGTCTTTAGCGATGATACTCTTTTGTGGCGATGTCATAAGGACGATGATGTCAAGCATAGTGAACGGGCAATCACCACATGGGACCAGCTCGTAAAGGAACTTAGATAGTAGTTCAAGCCAAAGTATGCAAAAGATAAGGCTTAAGGTGAACTCTGTAGGCTTATTCAAAAAGGAAGAGTTCAAGACAACTATAATGAGTTTTCAGAGCTATTGTTGATGGTCTAGAATATAAGCTAGGAGGAGCTTCTGTGTTATTTCATAGATGGTCTAAAGCCATGGGTAAAGATTGAGCTACAATGAAAAAGTGTACAAGAGTTAAGTAGGGCCATTATTGCTACAAAATCATTGATCGAGTTCGAGTGCACTAGGTTTCCAAAGTCTAATGCTAAATGAAATAGTAGATGAGACATAGGTAGCAGTCCTTTATTTGAGAAGGGGCCTGTAGGGAAGCCCGGATTTCGAAGGGCCAAAATCGATATAGTCGTCATGAACAGGGGTAAGGACTGGAAGCCCTTAAGTTGCTTTTTATGTATCGATCCATACAAGGCTAGCAAATGCTTAAA